GCGTCTGCCTTCGGCTCAGGTCATGATCCCAGGGTCCTGGGATCGAGTCCCACATCGGGCTCCTTGCTCCGTGGGAGCCTGCTTCTCCCTCTGCTTCTCTCTCTCTCTCTCTCTCCCCCCCTCTATCTCTCTCATGAATGAATAAATAAAATCTTAAAAAAAACTTTAAAAGACGTTTTAAAGAAACTAAAGAATGACTCTTTAAAAAAAAAAAAAAATATCGTGGTGCCTGGGTGGCTCAGTCAGTTAAGTGCCTGCCTTCGGGTCAGGTCATGATCTCAGGGTCCTAGGATTGAGCCCCGCATTGGGCTCCCTTCTCAGCGGGGAGCCTGCTTCTCCCTCTCCCTCTGCCCCTACCCACCACCTGTGCTTGTGCTCTCTCTCAAATAAATAATTTAAATCTTAAAAAAAAAAAACCTTTCCTTCAACAATCCTACTCCTGAAAACGTATCTCAGTACCTAATATATGTTCAAAGGTATTTATGTTAGCATTGCTTGTAGAAAAAAAAAAATTAGAAAAACAATGCCCATTTATGAATAAGTTATGATTCACGCATATCATAGTATCTCATGAACTACTTCTACACCAGTGGACACAGGGATTTGCACCACATTGTTAAATGAGAAAAGAAACATAAAGAGAAATGTAAAGTTGATCCCCATTATTTGTGGATTATTTGCAAATTTGCTTATGCACTAAAATTTATTTGTAACCCCAAAATCAATACTTGCAGCCTTTTGTGATCATTTGTGGGTATGCACAGAGCAGTGAAAAAAAATCGCCTAAAACACATATCCAAGCTGAGGTTGAACAAAGTATTATTTTGCCTTCTTGGGTTTGTTTTTTTTTTTTAAGTAGACTCCACGCCCAACGTGGGGCTTGAACTCAGGACCCTGAGATTAAGAGTGGCATGCTCTGGGATGCCTGGGTGGTTCAGTCAGTTAAGTGTCTGCCTTCAACTGAGGTCATGATCCCACAGAACGGGGATCAAGTCCCGCATTGGGCTCCTTGTTCAGCGGGGAACCTGCTTCTCCCTCTGCCTGCCGCACCCCTTGCTTCGGCTCACACGCGGTCTCTCGCCCTCTCTCTCTCTCTCTCATTGACAAATAAATTAAAAAAAATAAAATCTTAAAAAAAAAAAAAAAAAAGAGTGGCATGCTCTACCAACAGAGCCAGCCAGGTACCCCTTTCCTTCTTGTTTTAGCTATCATACTGTAAACAAATGCCTTTTTCATGATCTGTTTAGCGTCACGTTTTCACATTTCTTGTGCCTTTTTGTTGGCAATTTCACTGTTTTATGCTGAGTGCTGAAGTGCTGGCTAATGTTCCTAAGTGCAAAAAAGCTGTGATGTGGGATGCCTGCGTGGCTCAGGTGGTTAAGCCTCTGCCTTCAGCACAGGTCATGATCCGGGGTTCTGGGATCGAGTCCCGCGTTGGGCTCCCTGCTCAGTGGGGAGTCTGCTTCTCCCTCTGCCTACCACACTCTCCCTGCTTGTGCTCACTTGCTCTCTCTCTCTCTGACTAATAAATAAAATCTTAAAAAAAAACCCCAAAAAACAGAAAGCTCTGATGTGCCTTATATGTGTTGGATAAGCTTCATTTAGGCATGAGTGCTCTTGGCTGTGAGTTCAATGTTAATGAAACAACAATATATATTAAATAAAGTGTTTTAAACAGAAAAACACATAAAATAAGGTTAGGTATTATTTGGTTAAAAACAATGTTTGATCAGAGGCTGTAGTAACATAACCTTGTATTTCCTCTAGAAGCAGCAATACAGTATTTATAATTAAGCGTTTACAGAAACTGTAGAACATAACTACTGCAAATAATGAGCACTGCCTAAATGTTGTGATCTTATCAATTAAATAATTCATGTTTGATTATTAAGAGAACACAGAGAAAAATATGAAAGGATACAAATCAGCATGTTAAAATGGATTGGTTACTTGGGAGAGGCAAGGCATGTGTGGAAAAGATTAATTCCAGAAGAGGGGCAAAAGAGAGAGGAAAAGTAGAACTAAACAACAACAACAACAACAACAAAAAAAAAACGGGGTGGGGGGGCAGAGGGAAAAAGGAAAAAAAATTGCCTTGATAAAAAAATATTACAATAATATATGGACATGTGTGTATGTAAACACATACACACACAGATACACATAAAGAAATGCAAGAAGAGGTGTGCCTGGGTGGCTCAGTTGGTTAAGCGTCCGACTCTTGGTTTACCTTCAGGTCCTCAACTCAGGGTTGTGAGATTTAGTTCTGCATGGGGCTCTGCACTGGATGTGGAGCCTGCTTGGGATTTTCTCTCACCCTCTCCCTCTGCTGCTCATGGATGTGTGTGTGCATGCTCTCTCTCTCTCTCTCTCAAAAAATAAATAAGAGAAATGCAAAAAAGGATTTTCAAATATGACAGTTACCTAAGATGGCAGAAACAGAGTTTCTTCCTTATATATTGTTCAAATGTTTCAAACAATGATCATAAATAATCAAAATTTTAAAAAGCAAAAATAATAGTTATTTTGTTGGGGAAAAATAAAATTAAAATAAAATCTTCAAAAAAAAATTAATGAATTAGGGTCGCCTGGGTGGCTCAGATGGTTAAGCGTCTGCCTTCGGCTCAGGTCATGATCCCAGGGTCCTGGGATCAAGCCCCACATCGGGCTCCTGGCTCAGCAAGGAGCCTGCTTCTCCCTCTCCCTCTGCCTCTCTCCCTGCTCATGCTTTCTCTTCTCTCTCTCCATATCTCTGTGTCTCAAATGAATAAATAAAATCCTTAAAAATTTTTTTTAATTAATTAATGGCTGTGATTAAATTCTATAAGCTCTATGAAGATCAGTTTCCACTAGGTACTTTTTTTTTTTTTTTTTTTTACCTAGGCTGTACTAGTATGGTAAATTACAATAAATAAAACTAAAAATTTAGTTCCTCAGTCATATTAACCACCTTTCAAGTGCTCAACAGCCACATAACCCATAGCCACCATACTGGACAACACATATTATCAAACATTTCCAATATCCCAGAATGTTTCAGGTTTGGTTTGTTTTCTTTTTTTGATTTATTTATTTATTTTAGAGAGAGAGAGAATGAGAGTGAAAGAGCAGGGGGAGGGGCGGGAGAGGGGAAGCTGACTCCCCACTGAATGCAGAGCCAACACGGGGCTCAATCCCACAGTCCTGAGATGATGACCTGAACTGAAACCAAGAGTCAGATGCTCAACTGACTGCGCCCCACCAGAAAGTTCTATTGGCCAGTAGGTGTTAAGAGTGTTTTCAAGAAAGGCCACTACCTTCATACATCTGTTACTCAGGATGTCTCCATTTTTACATATTCTTCTTTCCTCCTCTAACGTATTTCATTTATATTGTATCTCCTTCCAAAAATAATGCAGACTGCAAAGAGGCAGCTGAATGGCTTAGTCAGTGGAGCATGCGACTCTTGAACTTGAGGTCCTGAATTCGAGCCCCACCTTGGGTGTGGAGTCTACCAAAGAAAAAATAAAAATAACTAAAAATAAAAATATTACAAATAATTTAGCCTGCATGAAAAAGAACAGATAGATCAATAGAAAAGGTTAATGAGATATAGAAGCATAGTCAAAAAAGAAAAAGGAAGCAAATCTTTCTATTTCAAGGAGTAAGAGTAGCTATATATCTGATGATCAAATTTGACCCTGAGCTCTCCAGAAGCCAGAGCAAGAGGGAAAATACGGTAAACTCTGTAGTTCTCCTTATCAAAAAGAAAGAGAAAAGGATAGCAATTTCTTCAGGAAGACAATTATCCCAGGCAGTTAAGTTCTAAAAGAAATTTCTTTGAGGAATTTTATAGAGAGGTCAATCTCCTTCCTTGGCAAGTTTTTACCACAACTGAAAAGCAGTTTCTACATGGCTACTTCTCTCAAAACTTTTGACAAAAGTACAACTCAGTGAGGGCAATTCTACAAGGGGCTAGTTTAAAAGAAGTCGGCCTAAGTACTCTGCCTTCCAGTGGGGTAACTTGATTCCAGGAAGAGTTCTGACTACCTCTTGGAATGGACGTGGATGTTGCCTCACAGTGGCAACCGACTGATCTCTGCGCATGAGCCCACGTTAGGGCGAAACTACTAATCAAAGTGATAGGGTTTCTCAGTAGTTTGGAAAAGGTTTAACGGGGGAGGAGGTGATAAAAACTAACAGCTAAATAGAGGTCTGGGTTCTCAGTGGATTTCCTTTAACCACCCTAGGGCACCTCTCTGTTGGCCTGAATAGCTGTAAATGGATGTCACCAACGCAGAAGACTTCATTATCGTTATTAATTACGTTCCAGCCTTGGCCCTCTGTTCCTCTGAGCTCTCGACCTCGGCAAAGAGCCCAGTCGAGAAGCTGGCCAGGCGAATCTCACCTGCAATCCCGGCTTGCACAGTGATGAGGTCGGCGAGTAGCTTATCGGGGGCCCTTTTCCAGAGCTGGTGAGGGCACCGGGCTGCAGGATAAGTTCTCGGAGAGGCGTTCTCATAGTTGGTTTTCCCTGAAAAAGCGGAGAGTGTGAGAAAGCCTGGGCTGGGCCAGTCAGGCCCTTTTTCCCCTAAGAAGCTCCTGGGGCAATAGGAAGAGTAGACTTCCACCCCAGTCGCGCTGAAGCGGCAGGACCAGTATAGACTCCACACGCACACCCCCTTCCCCAGGCTGGACCCAGCTTTCCAGGACACTCGGCGTTGCCGCCGTCCCCGCCTCGAAGTCCCGACCCAGCTCTCTCCGTCCCTGAAGTTCTCTTGCTCACCGGTTGGGGCAAAGGCGATAGGCTAACGTTCAGTTTTTTCACCCGCCACATTTTCACCACAGAACGCGCGGATCAATCACCTCCCAAGCCCAAGAGCAGACGCCATGTTCACCCGCCGTCTTTATTTGAACCGGCGCCGCGCCTCTCGATTGGCTGCGGAAGCCTGGGTACGTCGGCGTAGCGGTCCGCTCCCCTCTCGGGCCCCACGGAAGGGGGCGGGGCCATGAGGCCCCGCCCTCACTGGCCCCCGAGTCGCGCGCGCTCTCTCGACGGACACCCCCACCACCGCCAGCACAGGAGGGGGCTGGAGGGCTGGAAGCGTCCCGGGCCCGGGGCCGGTTTTGTGGCCTCACCTCGGGGCGGGTACCCAGGTAGCTGGAAAGTCAAGAAGTCTGTCCCTCCCGCTTCCAGTGGACGACCCTCACACCCTGTCAGAAAAGTTGTCTCGGTTGCCTGGCCTCAGGTGTCTCCCCAGGTTTGCCTTCGTTACCTGGCGCCCCAGCCTTGACCGGAAAGAGCGCGGAAGGGAGAGGTGAGTGGAGCGTTTTGTAACGAGACTTGGTGGGTCGGCTCGAGTAGGCCCTGCGTGGGGGGTGGCCTGAGCTGGAATTCAGCCTCTTCGGAATTTCTCGTGTTTTCCTGGGACTTACCTCAGGGCCTGCTACAAGTTTACGGGAACGACAGCTAACAAGTATTGAACATCTATTAGGTATCTGGCACTGTTCCAAATACTTTACCTATATCCTCTAATCCTCCTAAGTGAAGTAGGTGCTGTAAATATCACCCTTTTGCAGACAAGAAACTGAGTCCTAATGAAACTGGCCCAATACCCCGCCGGTAGTAAATGGCAGAGTCGAGATTTCAACCCATACCACCAACTAACTACAGGACTATATTCTCCTGTGGGCTTGAATCCCCTCCGTGGGAAGTCAGCTATTGAAGGTGGAATTGATTTTTGGAAACAGCCTAATGGTAAGTATTTAGAGTTTATGATAAAGTGTGTTCATTGCAACATTCACTGTACCTTACACTCTGAAGTCTTAATGAATTTGGAAAAGGAAATCATCCAAAGAGGAGGAACTATAATCTGTCATGAACTAACTGTAGGGCTCTCAGGTAATGAGCTCTCAGGTGATGAGCTCCTGTGGTCTGATACCATGGCCACTAGCCACATGTGATTACTGAGCACTTCAACTGTGGCTAGTACAAACTGAGATGTATTATAGGTGTAAAATACAAACTGGATTTCAAAGACTTTGTATGGAAAAAAGAATATAAAATTTTTAAATCTTGATTACATGTTGAAGTTATATTTCAGGTATATTAGGTTAAGTAAAATACATTAAAATTAATTTCACCTGTTTCTTTTTGCCTTTTTAATGTGGCTACTAGCAAATTTAAAATGACTTATGGGGCTTACCTTGTACTTCTATGGGACAGCACTGCTCTAGAAACATAACAGTCCCAGCCTGCAGGCACTATGGATAACAGTTGCTTGAATGGAAAACTGGAAGAAAGATCATGTAAGAGCACAAACTTGAGCCTGGGGTTTCCCAAGACTCAGCAGAGGGTATCCCAAGGTGTATGTACTTCTGGTCAATTAAAAAGATTCAACAAATAAAACAAGGGTGGGGAGTGGCAGAAAAAAAACAAAACAAAACTAAGTGCTACTGGTAAAAGCTTGTATCATAGAAATGTGTGAATTGGAATGCTTAGTCCTTGTTGCAATTGGTATGTCAGATGCTAGTGAGAACCCAAAACGATATGGTGCTTCCAGTAGCAAAGCAGGAGGGAGATGGAAGGGTGGATGAGTGGGAAAATACCATTATAAATAGGTAACATAAATAGAATGTTTGTTGGTGTTACTTTGCATAATTTTTAAAATTTGGTGTTTTTCAAATTATAAAAATAATAGATACCTGTTATTGCAAGTGAAACAATGCAATGCAAAAATGTATTAAAGGCAAAGCGTCCCCCCTCCATTCTCCCTGCCTGAGGTACTCAATAGTGTGTACACCTTTGTAACATATGCATACACATACACAGATTCTGTATGTCTATTTACACACACATTTTCCTCCCCAAAATTAATGTTGAATGGGGTCTCTGGGATTGAGGGCTAGTGTCTTTTTTTTCCTCCACTTGTACTTACTCCTTTCTCCCTTCCATTTTTTTCACGTTCTCTCACACATGAAGGGGAAGAAGGCATTGAGTTCTTTACAAAAATGGCATTTCTTACACTTCTGCATTTTTTCTTCCTCATGCACTGTCTTGTACAGAGCCTTTTTTTAAGTAAACTACTCCCAACATGGGGCTTGAACTCATAACCCCCCAAAATCAAGAGTGGCATGCTCTACCAACTGAGCCAGCCAGGTGCCCCTTGTATAGAGCCTTCTACGTCAACTGATATAGATGTAATTAATTGATTTATCACTTCATCTTCCTTGCCATTTTTTAAAAAATGGGTTTTTTCTCTTCTAATTTGTAAGTTTTATGTGATAGACCTTAACTGTCATCACAATACAAATTTTTTTAGCTGTTTTTGTCCATTGACTTTATTAATGGTATCTTTGACCCTACAGATAAGATTTTTATTTTAAAAGATTTTATCAGAGAGAGAGAGCACAAATAGGGGGAGCCTGATGTGGGACTCGATCCCAGGATCCTGGGATCATGACCTGGGCCGAAGTCCGACGTTTAACCGACTGAGCCACCCAAGGGTCCCCATATAAGACTTTTATGGGGTCGAGTTGTTTATCTTTCCTTTAAGAGCATCTTGATTGAGTCATTCATTCTTCAAATTTTTATGTAAATATGTTTTTCTTTTATAGTGCTTTCATTTTCTGTCTTGGTTTAGGTATCTCCTCCACCCCTTGACTGTAGATCTAATCTCCCAAATGTTCTAAAATTTTTAATGTTTTGACGATCACATTTAAATCCTTAATGTATCTGGAATTAAGTTTTGTATATGCTATGAAATAGGGGTCCAAATATTTCAGAACACTTGTACTTTTATTTTTTAAGTAATCTCTATGCTTAACGTGGGGCTTGAATTTACAATCCCAAGATCAAGAGTCACATGCTCTACCAACTGAACCAGCCAGGTACCCCAACACTTGTAATTTTTTTAATTTTAGGATTAGAGATTACTTATTTTGTAAAAATCCAAATACATAACCCAAATCAGCAACTCTGAGACGTATGCACCAGGCAGTTCTAAGTGAACTCAAGGATGAAACTGTGGAATTAGTAGCCCTGCTACAATGAATGATGTATGTGTGTATGATGTGAATGACGGGAGTACTGAACAAAGGAGGCAGTGTGACAGCTGCTAATCAGTGGGGCTCCATAAACCAGCAAAACTCATGGAAATAATATGTTCACAGAACATAACCAAAACCAAACTATAGGGAGTAAGGTAGCATGTTTTGTAAATAATCATTCCTGATTAATCTATTAGAACTCATCATAGCAGTTGTATTAGTTTGCTAGGGTTGCTATAACAAAGTAGCACAGACTGGGTGGCGCAAACAACAGAAATTTATTTTCTCACAATTCTAGAGGCTAGAAGTCTGAGATCAAGGTGTCAACAGAGTTGCTTTCTTCTGAGGCTTTCCCACTGGCTTGTAGATAGCTGTTGTCTCCCTATATCTTCACTTGGTCTTCCCTCTTGTGTGTCTGTGTCCTAATTTCTTCTTTATAAGGACACCAATCATTGGATTAGGGCCAACCCACATGACCTTATTTTAACTTAATTACGTCTTTAAAGACTATCTTCAAATACAGTCACATTCTGAAGTACTGGGGGTTTGGACTTCAACGTATGAAAGCAGGAGGGGGAGTGCAGTGGAGACACAATTCAGCTCGTAACAGGATTACTAATGCAGTGAATATGATTTTATTTTGAAAAAGCTTTGACAAGATTTTTACACTGAAGACTCTATTTAAAGAAGTAACTAAGGAATTATGATTACCAATTTGTTAAATTAATGAACAAATGAACAAATCGATATATGGTAAAGAAACTCAGATGTAAGAAACAATGAGTAGAACTACAAAGACACTTTTCTAGAAGAATATAAGCACTGGTGTTAAGACTAATCTTACATTCTTAGAAAAGATAGAAGGGAGTACAGCATAAAATATCCATACTGATAGGTATATCTGATTTCTTCTAGGTAATGAAAAAGCATAGAGTTAAACTTAAAAGATACCAGGTTGTATATAAAAGTATTTTTTAAGTGAATTTCATGTGGATAAATAAAAGGTATTGTATTTATAAGTCAATGATTCTAAATGGGGGTGGAGGATGGCAGGAAAGAATGCCTTCCAGGGATGAACATATCAAAACTGAGGGGTGAAGATGGTGCTTTTTCAAATTATACTTTCTGAAACATTGATTTTCTGTCCCCCCTCTACTCTACCCTGAGAATTACTGCTATAGTGCCCCACTGATTTGAATAGAGTGCATTAAAAATGTCCACATTTGATAAATGATTCAAACTATTATGGTCCCAAAGCTACCTAATATTTCCTAAGAAAGGGACCCTAGTGACATCTCGACCATGTCCAAAAGACCTTAACCCAATATGCTGCTGTGACCAGAGACTATATAATGTCAGGTGACCTGAATATTAATTAACACTGGACCAGACACTGGACTAGTATCATAAAATCATCCACATCTGCCCTTTGAAAAAGCATCACAGAACTCAGAAGCCCCCCCCCGGCCACAACCAAGAACGAGTGATTATAACCCCCTCATTTTTATATATAGGAAACTAAGATCCAGAGAAGTTAAAATAACTTGTGTAAAGACTCTGAGATAGTTATTGGTGGATCTAAGCACCAGTCTAATACTCTTAACTACTTTAGAAACCATTAATTCCTATTTCTAGTATTCAGAGTTTTTATCCAATATGCAGTTCTGGTCACTACAACTTTAAAAAAAAAATGTAATAAAGCTAAAAAAGTATCTAAAGAGAAACAAATGAGATAATCAAAAGGATTAATGTTACATTTATTTATTCATGTATATCCCAACCTTGTTCCAAAAAGGCTTGCAAAGATGCAGATAATAAAAAGAAAATAAAGGCAGAAAAGGAAGATGGAACCAAGAATGTGGCTAGCATACAAAATAGACAACATGAAGTCCTAAACACTTGCTGGAAGTGGACTGCAAATTAGGCTCTCAGTGGCCTAGCATTGATATGAAGAGAAAAATACAGTCTGTTGAATATTTAGTGTCTTTAAGGTAAAACCAAACAGCGATTCAGGAAAAGCACAGTTGGGTCCAGAGGAAATTTCTCCCATGCATCCTTATATAGAACATTATGAATTATAGTGAACACCCTTCACAGTATATCCATAGCAATTAAATTTCATAGGGATTTTCCTACAGATTGCCAAAGTACAATCCAGAAAAAGCAATTTTGCAGAGGCCAATAAAATGCCAGCTATGTACAAGGAAAATCTGGCTTAATCCAGGGAACAGAATTAATAAACAGAAGTATACAGGGTGTTCCAGACTCTCTTTGGTCTGCAAAGAGAGATCAGAAATAACTGAAGAATAATAAAAATGAAGATTTTGAAGGGCCCCTGGCTGGCTCAGTCAGAAGAGCATGTGACTTGATCTCGGGCTTGTGAGTTTGAGCCCCACATTGGGTGTAGAGATTACTTAAATACATAAATTTTTTTTAAAAATGAAGGTTTTGAAAAGTTAAAGAAAAATGAAGTCAGTAAAGGCCAGAAATATATACAAATTTAAGGTCCAGATGATTTTCCTTACTAAAGGAAAAGGTTCTTGAAATACATCTAATCTTACATCTTAAGGCTGATGTCAACGCCTCTTAATCCCTTCGTTTGCCCATCAGAAACTGAATCCTAGGCTATCTAGGGAAATGATCAGTTTAAGAATCTTGTCTTTTGAAGAGATTTTGTTTTGGAAAAAAATTCGCTATCCCAATCAGCCC